AAACTGATATAAAAAAAGTGTAAATTGCAAATTTCTACATTTGTGGAGCTTTTTCTTTAGGGGTCATTATGTTGTTTGGATTGAGGTTCCCTTTAACGGAACAAACTAGTTTTACATTGTAATCGTTTTGAATACAAACACCATGACATAATTTGTTGTTTCAACTCTGACTAGTATTTACTATAATTAAACAAAATTAAAAAGCATTCACTTTTATCATTAGTCCAAGGTTGGCAATGTAAAAACGCCTTCAAACCATAGTCATACGTTCATTGCATGAACAGTGACGATCATATATTTGTATGTTAGGTTATGCTATCTACATTAACGACTAATTAAATCAAATTTGCGCATTATGAATATTCAAAAAGAATTGTAATGTCCGCCCTACAAATCAATTGATTGTGCTGTCATGAATTAGTTTTCGCGTATCTGTTGACCGACTTAATTAGTTGATTATTAGCTGAATTGCTGTGTTATGTCTGTCATCGTTTAGGTCTATTTGAAGTTTTGGACGGAACTCGACTCAGTGATTTGAAACTAATTACGAGATAACCGTCGCTATTCTGACTATTCTTTCTGACAGTTGGTATTCGTAGTTATTAATGTAGTGAACGATTAATCAAAAGATATGACGTATTCAGTACTTAGTGTGATTGGCTTTATGATTGAAGGTTACGCCCTAGAGTCTTTTTACTGATTTGTAATTGGTTAGAGTTTTGAAAATGAATAAAGAGAGTTTGAGTTGGTCTTGGCGAGTACACCACGATAGACGCAGTGGAAAGTCCAGTCCTGGAGAGTCTTGGACAGAGTCTTGCGTCAGCCTTGCGATAGTCTTGGGGATTTTTCCCAAGGGCGCCGTGTCTTATAGAGTGCTCGAAAGACCGACTAAGACGAGAGTTGAAACGTGTTTCGTTGTGTGCGTCTTATTTGACTGTAAAGTATAAGTGACTTTCCCGATCCCGTACCTGCAGGGGACGCGATAGAGAGACGAGACGAGATTCCCCCCTGACACGTGTGGAGAACCCCGTGGAGAAGAATTACCCCCTGATAGTGCACTCCAGTGAAATTTAGGAATGTGGATGGTAAATAATTTATAACAAATAATACAGATAACTATTATTTAATGGTTCCATTTACCCTTTATTCGTCTTTCGTGGCTAAGATTTCATATTAATTTTATTTTATATTGATACTTTCGCGTAACTAATAATAGTCATACTACATACACATGTCTAAGATAAAGTAGCTATGTTTGTACTCAACTCATCCACGCTGACACTGTCCAGTATTAATACACGATTCTTGGAGCTTGTATGCATGCTCGATTTACCTCCATGACATGACATAATGCAACATACGACCATCAATCAACCTTTCAGGTAAATTACCAAATTATTCATTATGCTGAGTCTTTTACTGCAGATCACGTGGTATTTCATATAATCATGTTCGGAATACCTATATGTTGTATTTCGTGTTTTCATTTTTGAATATTACTAATGTTGTATTTCATGTATTCAACTTCGGAATACACCCACATATTATATTTCATATATTCATGTAGGGATTACACACATGAAGTATTTTGTGTATTCATGTTTGGAATACACCCACATGTTTTATTTCATGTATTCATGTAGGGATTACACACATGAAGTATTTAAAAATTTGTGAATTCATGTTTGGAATACCCACATGTTTTATTTCATGTATTCATATTAGGATTACACACATAAAGTATTTTGTGAATTCATGTTTGGAATACCCACATGTTTTATTTCATGTTTTCATGTTAGGATTACACACACGAAGTATTTTGTGAATTTATGATTAGTAAATCCTATTCTTTATAACCAATTCACTCGATGTGACATTTATATCTGAACACAAATAATTGTCCGTCACAAACTAGACGTCAGAACATATATTTTCTGGATCAGTTGCATCATATATGAGAAGATATTTGTTAATTTTCGTCGCCATCACCATGACAACTATGACATTGTATGCGGATGATAATAATACCTGAATTAAAATGTGATTATGCCAACAATGTACTTGTAGAAGGTGTAATAGTATAATTCACTTCACCCACTATTGATGCGCCAGATATGTATTATGAAAACGATTCAAAACACGTTACTTTACATGTGTGTGTGTTCGTGTTAGCAGTACGACAAGATGCAAATAACCTGAATATACAAAATGATTAGCAGTGTGACATCAACCAAATAATAATATTGCAGGAAACAAACAATGTCACTAACAATATATATGCAAATGGTGATTGTCATTTGCCAATAAAAAAAACGTGACAATTAATTGACATGACGATCATACACAGGAGTACATATATGGCGTATAGTGGAATGTAT